GAACTGCAACTTCAGAATACATTTTGTGTCAACTGAGGGTCGCGTGTGTCGTTTAATGATATGTGCTCCTTGAATCAGCCCGTATCCTGAAGCCGAAGGCAGCTCCTAATCAGACTCAAAATGAAGCTCTGAAACCCGAACTTGCACGACCCAAAAGCCAAACGGAAGACCTGTACATCCCAATGGCAACAAACAAAGTACCTTGCTGTTGAATCAGGATGCAGCAGGCGTGGATCGTCACCCGGAGCGTCCTTTACGAATGCCCGAAAGAATGCCCATGGGGGAGCATCCTACAATTCTGTGGCAGGTGACTTGATTTGGTTCTTCGCGGGCCGCCAGCACTGAAGACGGTTACGGTTGGATACAGCAATATGAAAGTACAGCACGGTGAAACTACCTGTGGGAGGGCCTGCTGCAAGGTTGAAGGTGGTTGAAGCTACGCCACATGAAGGCTGTGTCTGCACTCGCTTCGAGTTCAGGCATGTGCTTTGGGTCTGGTGGTTGCGGTATCTACCTGCAAAGCCGATCCGCTCAGAATGACTGGCAAGTGCAAGTAGACCCCACTTTGTGAGCAGTTAGACTTGTACCCTGTGACCTCCATCCTGGTAAGTTTAATGTCGAGTCGCGATGAGTACCGGGGGCCTTAATTGTGCGAAGTTTGGCCGAACTTACTCAGCACCCCCTGATTCGTTTGGGGGCCTGGTTGCGCAAAGTTGTGCGGCCTAAAAACAAATTTATGAAAATAGTTTGGCAGAATAGTCATTTGAGCGGTGCAAAAAACCCTTACGCAGAACGCTTTCACGTCCCAAAGCGTCCTGCATTTGTTGACATCCTGCAAATCATTGCTTCCATTCTGCGCGCACCTTCCGCGAAGTCATCACCTTCCACGAACCGTCCGGCGCACATTTTGGAGACTGATCTCAAGTTTTGTGTTGCAAACCCAGTACCTCAAGACTGGCGGAAAAAAAGTTGCTTGTTTGCTTTCAGATCACAGGGCAGGCCTCCCGAACTCTTCCGAATCTTTTTTACCTTAACCGTTCGACCCAACTTTGTTTGGGGTCCCCGGTCCCTCCCTGCCTCCCACTGGGACCATTCTTGTTCGAGGAGCGGTGCTTGGAAGTTCCAGCTGTCAAGCAAATGTGCAGAATGTCACTTGCGTTGTTGGGTTCCGCATTTTCGCAGTTAGGCTTGGCCTGAGCCCGAAGGCTGAAACTCCGAAGCACCACACCCTCTGAAGCCAGATGACCCCAAACCCTAAACCTAGCAAAAGCTTCAAGTATGTTGCAAACAAGTGAATATGGCCCACCCCCTCCTCTGGTATCAGGTCGCAGCCGTGGAGGCTCATGCTCGAAATCAGAGCCTCATTGATCCATGGTCTGCTTGCTAAGGGGACGCGGAGGACAAAAGCGTTGTTGCGGCGTTCTGTAACATCCCATGCGCACGAATCATGAGCTCAGCTACAAGTAGTAAGAAGAGTGCATGAGAACCCCAAATCCCGCTGACACCCCGCTCTCTAACAGCAAGGGCCGTGACATTGACATGAAAGTTGATGATCGTCTGCGCTCAAACGTCGCTTTGCGCAACTATTCTTCCATTCGCGACTACCCAGTATGGTCAGTGCCAGCATGAACAATATCAATCCCACCATCTTCGAATATTCGAGTCAGGGTTTCAGACTCCCAGTTTCACGCGTGTTCTTGGCCTTGTCAGAGGATACATTGTAGGTCAAACTGGCTGCTGGCAGGTCAAAGTGTAGGGTTTTAGGCTTACATACTAAGCTGAGGTTTTATATAGGTTACGTGCTTGAGGTTAGCGGTCGTATCTTCAAAGTTCGCATTGCAATAGCGTTTTGATGTTCTATGCTGTCTCCTGTTCGCGGCTCAGCGGCTTTTTCAGGTTTTGTGTGGATGTTTGAGGACTCAAGCTTCAAGAGTGTTCAGATCAGCAACGGACAAAGTTAGGAAGCAAAGTGTGTTGACTCCACTTACGTGGTGGCCTACTCCTGCCTTGCAGGCTTCGGTCCTGATAGTCAGGCAGAAGCTTTTGGGTGGTCGCTTCTGACTTTGCAAGAGGGCATGCCAACTGCAGACCCAGCTGCATGGACGCCAGGCTTGTTAGGGGGTCAACCGCATTTGCGGGCCCTGTGACTCGCTCAAGGTTTCAACCAATGGAAGGGGCCAACCAGAAGGGTGCATATACCACTTTTTACAATACACAAAGCCACAAAACATCTCAGTGCCCTTCGTACTGTTTGCTTTTCTGAAAGCCCTGAGGGATGCATGAGATGATCATAGGGACCTCACAGGTTCTCCCATTTGGATTTGTTTGTAAGAATCATTTTCAGCAACCCCTCATCTGCCTGCGCGGGTTATGGAACAGGAGCCCCTGTGGCCCACAAATGAATCCTGAAAAGGACACCCCAAACCATGACATGGAAAACCCGATTGACCTGAACACTCCAGAAGCCTGTCCACACACTTTGCTGTCCAACGTTTGCTGGTTGGGGGATGGTCACATCCATGAAAACTGGTCAGACTATCATGCACCCGGCTCACAGCCTTAGCGATGAGGATTTCCATAGTGGATCGGCCCCCGAAAAAGACCGAGGAACTGCGCAGGCGAAGACAACTTGCCACAGAGCCATGACGCAACCGTCAAGGCTCCCAAAGGGGCAGGAAGTTTCTCTGACTAGCACAGCCTCCAAGCCACAAACTTGACGGATTTGAAACAACACACATCGTGAGCTCCATGCTCAACATCCAAGCTCCTTTTATGTTACAAAGTGGTGGGCACATGAGCGTAAGGATTTTAGGGCTTGAGGGCATAATTGGTCATAATTGTGCAACAAGGTTCGCAACCTGAACATGAAGACAAACACGCTCCACATTGGAACCACAGGGCTTACGGATTCATTGATTGATGGATTGATTGAGGCTTTACTGTTGAGGTTTGCTGCATTGCTGGATTGGGAGATTGTTCGCTTCGTAAACGGTGCCGAGCTTTTGGCGGAGGGCCTGGATAAAGGGCGGATAGTGGCGTTCACACAGAAGCTGCTGGTCCTACGTGCCAAGGCATATGGTTTCCATTCGCCACCCAAAGCTTTTTGATCCATACCCTGAGTGGAACGACAGGGCTGACCAGTTGACCTATGGATGGCGGTATGCTGCTGTTTTTGATAGGATGGAAACGAAAGAGACTCAAGGGTGTGGTGGGGAACCTGCAAAAGACCGACAGTGGCTGTCTACAAGTTGAGTCTTTTCGTCGCATTCGCGCCAAGCGAGTGGGCAACCTACATTGCCAAAGTAGGTCAGGGATGCACGGTTTGTGTGCCGAATCACCTGAATGCCCGCATCAACTAGCTGATACGTGCACAGAATTAAGCGCGAAAATCGCAATGCGGTGCAGCCGATCTGTTGGGCTGCATCAAGAACCTTCTCACAACAAGCCAACCTTCTGCACGTTTGCGCAGGGAACGAAGTGTGGCCAGATGCTGGCAGGAGCATCGTGACCGTGAGACGATGACATTGTGCCAGTTAGGAGTTTCCATTTTCTTTTTTCATCACCCCTATATAACCCCAACATGTACCCTATTAGAACATAGCAGTAGCCATGTTCTTTTCCATTGTAGTTCCTTACATGCCGTGGGTAAAAGGTCAGCAACACATTGCGCTGGCACGATGCCAAGAAAGGCTTCACCCCGAGCGAGGTTCAGGCTGGGCAAGTGACTCCACTCGTGTAAACTGGCTGTGCCTCCAAAAAACTTGGGAACGCGGTTTTGCCTATGATCCGACATCCGACAGCATGAGTATCTGCAAGGATGGGGCCCTCATGAAAAGGAAGCCCGCCAAAAGAAATCCTAAATTCTGGACACACATCCAGTTCATCTCAAAGCTGGCAAAGCAATCTGAGATCACTAGTCAGCCTACTTGAGGGCCGCTGGCTTGCTTCGTCCTGAGATCAAGACAGACAATCTGATCGTACGGGTAAATGTAAAACAGCCCTGCCCCTTCTTGGGGTCTCGACGTGAGCCATCCGTGAGTTCACGGGTGATATGAGGGGTTTGCCGGGTACCTTTGTGGTGGTCCCTGTAAGAAGGACTATAGTATTTTGGGGTCTACATTGGGGTCCCCCTATTTACGGAAACTTCCATATGTACCCAATAACAATATTGGAGTTTCCATTTCTTTTCGGATATTCCCTACATGACCTCTACATAAGCTTTATTGGGGCCCCCCTGTTGATGTAGGAGCCTCGATCTTTTCGAAGTGCATCTCTCGCTCTGCTCTCTCTCTCTCTATCAACTTCTTCCTTTGCCTTGCAGACGCATTTGAACACTTCAAGCCTTAAAGCCATCATGCTGTAGTGAGAATTTCATTCTCCATCTGATTTCCATTATTGGGGATGATTTCCTATTTTGGGGGGCCAACTTGCTTTTGAGCTGGGGGAAGTGATTGGGTTTAATGAAACACTTGAAGTGTTCGTGGATTCATGGGGATACTAAGTCCCAGAAACCGGAGAATCACATGAAAACTCAGATGGACAATAAGATGGAGACTCATCCTATGTAGGCGTTATGTCGTATTTCCAGTCGCAAGCTCTGAGACCGCAGCCTTTGTCCAATGCCGAAGTACCTGCAGCTGTTCAGCGGTAGCTTGGGGCAAAGGTGCATCTGAACTATCAGACAGGCACTGCCCCATGGCAGAGACGGATTCTTTTCAAGGATTTGCCTGGTGAAGTCCGCAGCTTGACAGAAGCTGTCTGTTCCTCGCACTCCATTGGAATTGTGCCTGGGCAGCTTTTTCGCCCGGCCTCAATCTTGCGCGAAATGCTCTAGCACTGTTGCTGCAACATCTTTCCAGGAGTAGTCCTTGCTCTGTAGGATGCCTAATTTTCAAACAGCAGGGGACATGAATTCCAGCAGCCACATGGGCTGAAGTAGCTACAAAATGGCTGCAGGCTTAAACAATTGCAAGCGAGATCAATGATGGCCGCCAAGCGACTCATATTCTTGTGAGGTCCCGGCCAAATACCCGGCTTTTTATCCAGTCAAAAAGTACCAGGACACGGTTCCGAAAGCTGACCTGCTTCACGATGTATACGGATCGCCACAACACAAAAGCCGCCAGCCCCTGTGCACGGGAGACTGTTGTTTCTCCGACTCCGAGCTCAGCCACCGCCTTTGACTCTCCGAGATATGCCAACCGCCCTAAATCCAAAAATCGAAAAGCTGGCGCTTCTGTTTGCCCACGGAACAATGCCATGGGCATGAAGGCAGCTCCCTCCTGGAGTACGGGATGTGGCTGTGCTAGATCGTACTGCCGATTCAAAAGCCGGGCAACAAACGCACCTTGCTGAGCCGCCACCTTTACAGGGACAGGAAGCGAAGTGCAGCTACATCCTAAACGCTCAACCAGGCTTGAGTGTTTATAGGGCTTAGTGTTTAGGAGTCGGGGCTTCCTTCCTGTGCCTGAGCTGTGTTTGGAAACTGCGCGGTACCAGCAGGGCGCGCGCAGTCACCAAGAGCGATAATGGATCCTGATGGAGCTCCACAAACACGCAGCCATTCGTCCACAAACAGTTGGCTGTCATTCCCACCTTGCTGGATGCATGTAGAATCTATGGGGTTACATAAGGATTGTATACGAGTTATATAGGGGTTATACAAGGCTTAGATATGGTGCCCGAGGGTGTTAGAAGGTGACACAGCACAGCCCTGTGGGCCATGGAGCAGCAAGAACAACAGGCATATCTTCACAGCCGCCGTAGGAATCAATTTAGGGTTTGGGATTGTTTAGGGTTTAGGGACCCTAGACCAACTTATCTAAAATCATGAACATGGTTCAGCAGGATCCTTCGCCTGTGGAAGGACCCAGCAAAGTAGACCAACAGTTCGGAGCACGGGGCAGCTTCGCGCATCTTAACAGAATCCTAATAACGAGGCTGTCATGGAGGGGTCCGTGATTCTGAGATGATCCCACATGAGCATTTGTTTGTGAAGGTTAAGGTCTTCGTACTGAGATAGTTTGCCTACGCGAACTACGCGGCATGCTGTTTTCCCTGCAGAACGGACTACGCGAACACACTCTTGCTA